GGCTGGCTGGCATATGGTGCTGGGGGATTGAACCACGGTCCCTGTGCTTTGCTTAGCTTGTTCTAAGTAGGTGCTTTAGACCACTGAGCCATCTCACCAGCCCCTCATTTTTTTCTTTTGTTCTTTCTTGCTTTATTTTTTTGGCAGAACCGGGGATTGAACTCAGCCCCTTGTGCTTGCCAAGGAAGCACTTATTCCACTGAGCCATCTCCCCGGCCCTTGTTCTTTATATTTTGGGTTTCTCATGTAAAAGAAACAATTTAGTATTTAAGTTTGTGTGTCTGATTTATTTCATTTACCATGATGGTCTCAAGGTGTATCCATTATTCCTACAAATAACTGAGTTTATCCTTCTTTATGGTCAAGTGTATGTCATATTTTGTGGTAAATGTCATATTTTCTTTATCCATTCACCTGTTGATGAATACATAGGCTGCCGCATATTCAAATATGCTAAGATTTAGCATATTTGAAGATAAAGTCTTAGAAACAATAAGCAACCTTCCCAGCCTCATACAGTTTGAAGCCGGTGCTCCATGAGCCATGTGCTTACGACCCAATCGCATACCTGTGCTCTGAGCACTAAGCCATCTGCCTCTCCTGAGGTGTTCTTGCTTTCAACCTGTACAGTGGCTTCTTCACCCACTGTCTGTCTCATCTCACACCTGAATTGGGTGCTGCTTCTCCATGTGCCGCAGGCTTTGCATAAGAAGAAACTTCCCTTGCAGGATGTCCTGACTTGGAAGTCATCAGTTTGAAGTCACCCTAGACATGATTCATCTCATCATCTAGCTCATCCTCGACTCCCTACCACTCTGTTGTGACCAATGCACTTATAGTGGAAAGTAATAAGCCATACTGAGTTGTAGCTCTGATTTACTCAGTTTGTGCCAGGCACTACTTTGCCAGTAATTGTACATGTTTCAATCTCTTTGTATTTGTCAGCTTCATATTACTATGATAGAATACCAATGGCAACTAACTTATTAATTGAAAAGGTTTTATTTCACTTATAGTGGACTCTCAAGTTCAAAATTGGGGGCCTTGTGGGCTGTGATGAAGGTGTTGGGATGCAGTAGTGGAAGTATTTGTCAGAGAACGTACTTCACAGGCCAGGAAGCAAGGAGAGGGATGGAGGACTGGCTTGTAGGACCTGCTCCCAGTGACCCAAAGAGATCCAAAAGGACTCACCCATTAAAGGTGCACAGCCATTTCCCAGTACCACTGTGCATGTAGTCCTTTGGATGAGATGACTCATGTTTAGCCATAGCGCTGTCTAAGCCTTAGAGTAACCCTGTAAGCTAGGTAGGCACTGTTATCTCTCTTCACATCCACTGAATGCAGAGAGGTTAAATACAGCAAATTCCCATGGCCAGCCAGCTAGTGCTCGTCAAGAAGTGAGGTTCAACCCCCAGGCTGTCTGACTTGGAGCTGTGCTGTAACTTTTCTGTTACCCCATTGACCCTCCTGTCAACCTTATGCAATAGGTGATTGCTCTCCCTGTTTTGTGTGTAGGCTTATCTTTCCAAACAAAATCCAAGACATGAAAAACTCAGATTAACAAATTAGTGGGAGTGATAGTGATAGCAATAACATAATTTCGTAGAGGAGTTATTTAAATGTGTTTCATGACATATAAATTACATACAGCTTATTAGCTGCTTGAAAAAGAGTCTAAAAGCGCTGCAATTTAAGCCTAGTATTGAAAGCCGAGGAAAATTGAAAATTAATCCAAAAAATTGCAGTCTAAATCGATAGGAAGATACAATTCCACATGTAAAGTGGTTTCTATTGAACTTTTTCCTGGTGAAAGGTGAAAGACATTAAATTAGCACTTTGCATGATATATTCTATTTGACTTTCACAGTACTTAAAATATTTTTGAACTGACTTGCTTGGAAATTTAAAATTCAGGGTTTCACATAAAACTTACAGTTTCTTGCTTTTAGAAAAGGTGGAAGGTCTGGCAAGCAGACAGCAGCCCTCCTGGCGGCGCTCACTGCAGCCCAGTGATAGCTGTTCCCGTCAGGCAGGCCTGTGCTCTCTGTTCCCCCGCAGTCCATCCAATTCTGGGCACACCTGGGACCCGGGGTGGGCTGCTGTTGTTTCTCTCACTCTCCACTTGCTTCTCTCAACTGGGCCTTTGACTCCTTAAGCTCTTGAAGTCATTTACACCTGCACCCCCCCCCAGTTACAGCAAAGCCCCCTGTGATGCATTTCAGTGACACCTCCAGAAGAATGTGCGGCAGCTCAGTCATCAGACCTAAGCACACATTACGTAGTTACATAGCTTTGGCTGGAAAGAAATGGCTACTGTGGTTTTCAAAATGTAATACAAATATTACACTTTATCTTAACCCCTTTAGTAGGGCAGCTTTGTATAACTG